TAAAAGACGAACGCCGCCGACGTGGCAGAGCAGGTTGTCGGTAAGACAAAGATCCCCGCAGATTAGCATCAACACGACGTCGAGAGGAAGGGGGACTGGGAATAGGAAAACTGTACTGTGCTGCGGTGAGTGGATAGGACACACGCACATTCTTTTTGTCTGCATGGATGGACTCGGAAAAACAAATCTCAATAACGATCGACTTTCTTTTCAAGTACGAGGGAGTGACCTTGGGCGGAGTAGTCTATCTATCTATCTATCTATCTATCTATCTATCTATCTATCTATCTATCTATCTATTTATGCTACACTGCGCTTTGTCTGCAAATTGTTTCATTTCATTGAGTTATATGTTGTGATCCTGCGGAATTCATGATGCAAAACTCAATTTGGAGAGAGTGCCATTCATCGCAAGTCAAAGAAGAAGTGGAATGAAACCAGGAAGAGAAGAGAACGAAGAATAATAAGAAGAAATAGAACAGCAATAGGTCCTAAATAAGCAACTAAAAAAAACATCGCAAAAAAAGTAAGAGCTAATAACACAAGTGTACCTGAAGCATAACAAAAAAAAATAAAAAAAAAAAAAAAATAAAAAAATAAAAAAAAAAAAAAAAAAAAAAAAAAAAAAAAACTAAAATGAGAAATAAAACGGAATGAAAAATGAACTGGGTTTCTAGCGCGTATTACCATAACGGCAGACACTAAAACGATGTTTGAAAAACTAGAAAATAGTGGCATTAAATCAGCGTCTCCCCCCCTCTTCTCTCCACCTCCATCATCAACCCCTCCCGTATAGCTCCTCCTCCTCTTTGTTGAATATTAGTACAAAGGAATGAATGAATGGATGAATGAACAAGAATCAATGTCCGAAAGATCTCCCTTACTGCCAGTGTGGAGACATCTCTCCTTTAGCTCCCCTCTCTTCTCTCTCTCTCTGCCTGGTAGCGCTAGTGGCTATGGCGGCTTGTCCCTTCCAAGCAGAGGGATGTTCAAAGAACAGCGAACTACTTCTATGTCTCTCCCACCCCCTACGGCCATGCCTGACTCACGCATGAAGCCGAATCCAGCCAGTACCCTATCAGGGGCCTTCTTGATGCAGCGCCAGCTAGGAAAGGGAAGGTCCGCCATAGCCAGAGGTAAGTCTTCGTCACGATGCCCTCGTTCTTCTTCCCCCTCCACTCCTCCAAGCCATGGAGTTTGTCCTCTTCGCCCCCAGCTCCTCCTCCTTCCCCTCCCAAGTTCCGTTCACTTCAGCCCTCTTCGCAGGGCAGCAGGATTACTGCCGGGTGAACGACCCGGCCTACTCGTTACATAGAATGATATACTCTTTACGTTCCGGCATCCGGTCCCTCTACACTGGCTCGGTACTCTCAGCCTTTACCGTGCATTTGGGCCTGCCGGTTCACTGCCCTTTTGATCAGAGCATCATTGCAGACTGCTATCCGACCTGTCAACCCTGTACGTAGACCCGAACTAGACCAGATACGGTCCTGGTACCGTCATTATTTCGGACCTGCTATCCTACCGGACCCCAGGTCATCTCCGAGTTGCTGGAAAATCCTTATTAGTGGATCCGTTGCAAATTCTACTCCTGTCTGGTCTCCCTCGAATTTCTGATAAGCCCAACCAGAGCTAACTTTCAGTTCTGCCCTTGTCTACAGCTATTTACTGAGGATCTACTTCTGTCCCACATACAGAAACACATGACGGAAAACAGAGTTAGCGCACGTACACCGGCTTAGACTCAGTCTTTAACCGACAAGCACACAGCCATTACCTTCATCATCAGCATGACGCGCGGCATGACACGCGGACTCAGAAAACACAGCAAAACAACCTCGGACTCAAGAAATCTGAGCACAACAAACCAAAGGACAGTGACGTGACTTCTCAGAAAAGTGCAGATTTCCCAGGCTGAAAACTGTGCAGTTCATTGCAAGTAGTTTCTGAAACCGTCTTTTTACGCATGCAAAACTCTGCACCTTGAAATTTGAAAAAAAAAAAAAAAAAAAAAACTCGCTCACATTTGTGTTGCCCTTGTCTCGGAATTTTTTTACTAGCTCACATTTGCGGTATCCCTGTGTTTGTCACGTGTCGTGCTGCTATTCAGATTGTCTGGCGAGAGCACGAGGATCTACGATTGTGGCTGGCTGGCTGGCTTGCACGGTGCGTCTTTGCTACTAAGAAGCGTCCGGCGCCTTCTCCAGATGCAGTCTGCGGGCGGAAACTGACACATCGGGTTCCAGACCTTTGACATGCGTGACAAGGATCCGGAACAAGGATCCGGAATGTGTGACGAGGATCCAGAATCCGATATGGACCCTGTCAACATTGGAATCGGCAGATGACCATTTGGAGATGGCTGGGTGGTGCTGCTGGCATTGGATGCGATGTGATTCATGTCACAAGAGGTTTGGTGAATGCTGCTGCTAATAGATAGGAACATTTGGAACCAGTAATGGGACTCCGACTGTTGGTGAGCACCACAGGCAAGGCATGGAATTGCAGGGAAAGAACTCGAGACCGCACACTGTGAGCGGGAAACCAGGAGGATGATATGGCTCTGTCGATTGTTCATGGACGAGCAAGCTGTGGGACTGTTGGCCAGCAAACTGAACACTGAGGATTGGAGAGAAGATTTCTGAAGAATATTTGCTTCTGATAAGATTATCCTCGTCTTCGGGCACACAGCCGTTTCAGAGAAAACAGTGTTGAATTGCTCTGGTATCGGTCAGGCTGTGGGGAGAACTTTCAGCGAGGAGCTCTCACTCCGGGATCAGTCATGGGCCGACTGGGGCCTTTTAGCCATGGGACCCCTTGACCAGTCGTGGGAACAGTTGTATGGAACCAGTAATGGGACGAGCAAGTCATGGGAACCACAAGACCGGGACAGTCAGGCACCATTAATGGGCCCCCCTCAAGGACCAGTCAGTCATGGGACTGTCGGGGAAGATTTGGAACCAGTGATGGGACCCCCTCAAGGACCAGTCAGTCATGGGACTGTCAGGGACCATTCATGGGTCATTCTAGCACTACGGTAGTTATTGGACCCTCTCTCTAGGACCAGTCACTTTGTGCACGGAGCTTCAGCAATCAGCCCTCAAAAGGCACTATGCTGAAAGGCACAATGCTTTTTTGGCTGATGATGTGTGGGTGTATTTGTGATGAGCCCTACTTTGTTTGGCTGTGCATGGGAAGGTCTTCCGTCCCTCGTTACTTTTGCGTTGGTGGCTGTAGAACTCTTGCCGCTGATCAAGGTTGCGCTTGCTCTGAACCTCGCCTTCATAAGATAACAGGGGTTTGGAAAAGTATTGTTCGAAGGTCCAATTCGAAGAGGCAATTCGGAGAAGACATGAAATGGAGGTCGTGCTTCTGTTGGAGTGGCTCTCGTCGTCTGTGGCGCACATAGACATCCGCGCTGCTCGCTAAGGTGGCGGAGACAACTTTGCAAGGGTGTGCTTGACCAAGCAGCAGCAGTAATGGAATAGGCTTGGAAAGCATTTTCTGGCAGCCAGAGACGTTTGAGTACAGCTGACGGCTTCATAGGGGTGGCTATCAGATAGACTCGACAAGCGACAGCACTCACTGTGGCGCCTTCAGCATGACAAGAATCAAAGAGAATGTTCGTACTGCATGCTGTGATGGCAGCGGACGACGGTTATAGGGGTGGTGGCTATCGGATAGGCTCGACAACCGACAGGATTGGGCCCCCTTGCACAACACGTGGAGAAGCAGAAGCTTCTGAAAAGTTTAACCCGGTGTGTGCAGGTGCTGCTCACTGAAGAGTTTCTACCTTTGTTTGCCTTTGTCAAGACCAAAACAGAGAATGTATTATGCAATTCCAACGGCTGACGCAGCTCACACAACCCTGGGGAGGAAGGAGGTGGTGCAGAATGGCAGAGTTGGTGCGCACTACTCACTTGGGATGACGAGCTTTCTGACATCATCACAAGCAGGAACAGCAGAATATTGCTACTATGCAGCAGAGAGGGCCAACCCCATGGAACTCCATTAAGGAAGCCCCTCTTTGTGCAGCAGTTTCTGCAGCCTCTTTTTCCAGTTTGTGCACTTTGTTAGGTTTGTGCACCCTCTTTGTGCATCCACATCCTCGTTCTGCATCCATCCTCTGTGTGCATCCATCTTCTGTGTGCATCCATCCTCTGTGTGCATTCTCTTTGTGCGTCCCCATCCTCTTTGTGCAGTTTGTGCACCCTCTCTTTTGCATTCTCTTTGTGCAGTTTGTGCACCCTCTTTTTTGCATTCTCTTTGTGCATTCTCTTTGTGCATCCTCTTTGTGCATCCTCTTTGTGCATCCTCTTTGTGCATCCTCTTTGTGCAGTTTGTGCACCCTCTTTTTTGCATTCTCTTTGTGCATTCTCTTTGTGCATTCTCTTTGTGCATTCTCTTTGTGCATTCTCTTTGTGCATCCTCTTTGTGCATTCTCTTTGTGCATCCTCTTTGTGCATTCTCTTTGTGCAGCCTCCTTATGCAGTTTGTGCATCCTGTCTTTGCTGCCTCGTTGTGCAGCCTCATTGTGCATCCTCTTTGTGCAGAAGTTCTTTCAGTTTGTGCAGCAGCACTGAGGGAGGAGGTTTATGGTTCTCCTGAACAGTGGAAAGGATCAAGACGTGCAAGGTGGTGCAGTATTAGTAATGTGGGCAGCTGTGTTCTGCTCTGCAGAAGCGGGGCCCATAGCTTCCATGGACCTCACTGTGGGGAGAATCCAATCCGGCAGGCATGGCCTAAGATTCAGGGATGTTGCCAATAACAGTGATCAGATGTGTTGTGCTGTGCAGACGTGTAAGACCAGGTTCAACCAAAGGCTGTCAGGATGATGATGGATGATATTTTCTGGACGAGCGCCTACTTGTCTGCGTGTTATCGTGATACCAAGTCAGTGAACGAGTGATGAACACGTTTCCAATACCATGCCTTTGGCGGAGCCTCTGATCTCCTGGTCATGTGGCTGCTTCCGGCCTCAAGTTTGAGATAATTGCAGGTGGGGCAAGAGGCATTCTGTCTGAAATGGGAGTCAATCTCAATGTCTGTAGTGATCTGCTAACCGCCGGTCGAAGACCGGTCGGCCGTGCTGAAGTCGTTGAAGGAAAGCCGTGAAAACAACCATGCGAGGTCGCTCACGCAGAGCATGCGATCCTGGCGGCTGCAAGGTTTCAGAAGATCAAGTCAAGGGGCAGAAGCAAGTTTGGCAGTCTGGTGGTGGGAAAGGCTGCAACATCAGCAGCATCGGATTGCTTGGGCGCGTATCGTGTCACTGGTGTGACTGGCGTCCGCCCAACAGCAGCAATCGTCTGGCGCTACGGATAAGGAATGAAACCCGTCGCGATTGCACCGAGTGCACTCGGTAGCTAGTGGTAGGTAAGTAATCTCACACATGTGCGTACGAGTTCCCACCCATAGCTAAGTCGAGAACACGTAAATTCAGCATGCTGGGAGCTTGTTCCGTTTATCGGAACCACCAAAGTTCTATATGAGGATGGGTGCTTAGAACATTTCAGCTTCAATAATATGCGATGACGGCTTCAGAAATGCTCGCTTGCCCAACAGCCTTGTGAGATAGATGTGTTCGTAATTTAGGAATTCGATAATATTTTGCGGATTCGTGTATACAGCATTGATGCATGACCAGCTGCCTGGCTCATGCTCAGGCTGTCAGTTATATTCTTCTGTCATCGCACCGAGCTTCCGCGCTATGGCAGGCCATCAGTCTAGAATCTGCATATCCAACTATTCCGTCTGCGACTCTGCGAGAGGCGAAGGTCATCTTTAAGAGTCATGAGAAATTGTTGTATGGATGTGTGCCATTTGTACCAGTCAGCGGTTCAACAGCCCAGTTCTCAGATAGACTCACAGAACTGATTGCACATTCAGTGGTCGGTGAAGGAGCAGGCTCGCCAGGCTTGCCTTAGTCGACACAGACTCGACAGTGATGACTCACTCAAAGAGGAAGGAGCCTCACTCGAAGAGGAACAGGCTTCCGATGGTGGCCCATTCTCTCCAAGACTGCTAGAAAATTGCTTGCTTGCTTATACAACGTGTACGCCGTGTAGATATAAGGATCGGTTTCATCTTGCATGAGTGTGTTTGAAGCAACTTTGGACCTCACTTGTTCATTCAGATGGGAGTCGTCTTGGTGAGTTCCCTGTCAAGTTCATGGAGAGAGTGACGTAAGACGTCGTATCAACATTTTTTTTTTTTTTTATACGTGTCTCCGTCAATCTTGTGTTATGCAGACACAGACTAATCGCCTCTGGTCTGGTCTGGTCTGGTCTGGTCTGGTCTGGTCTGGTCTGGTCTGGTCTGGTCTGCTCCTGGGTCTACTCTGGTCTGGACCTGTGGTCATGTGTCAATCTGACTCCATCATCCTCGTGTGCAGATGAACCATGCTTGTCCTGTGGCAAGGCTACCATCTAGACCTTTGGATCAGGTTCAAACAGTCCAAGATCGGAGCTAGGGAATCTGAATCCTAGGAGCTGTCCGGATTAGGTTCAAATACCAACATTAAAAAAAAAAAAAAGTTAAAAAAACAATATTTTTTTTTAACTGACACCCCTGCTCTGGATCAGATCTGGAGGTCATGTTGAAAAAAAAAAAAAAAAAAAAAAAAAAAAAAAAAAAAGATCTGGAGGTCCAAACCCTTGCCGGAGCGTCTTGTGTCAGTGTCCAGATTGGATTGGGGTAACCATGTACTGTGGCTGGCAAAGTTGAACTCTGTGTTTAAAAATAGTTGTAACAAGATAACACACACACACACACACACACAGGGAGAGAGAGAGAGAGAGAGAGAGAGAGAGAGAGAGAGAGAGAGAGAGAGAGAGAGAGAGAGAGAGAGACCCTCTGCACAGCTTGCCGGTGGATCGACACGTGCATGTGGTCTTTTTCCATCACGTTCGGTCTTCGATCTATTGCCACGATCAGTGGGATCTGGATAGACCAACTACGAGGTGACCGTAGGACAACGTCTACATGGACCTGACATCAATCTCAAACATGTAGGAAAACACTCGAGTAAGGTTATTCGAGACAGCGAGGCTGGACCTGGATAGACCAGTCACCATGGAGGAAATTATGCGAACAATAAAGGCACGTACTAGTGGATGACCTAATGGTGAAGTTTTATACGAAGTATTAGGAAGTGGTGCGGCATGTACTAGTGGATCTCTAGGATGAAGTTTTGAGAGGTGGATGGCTAGGGAAGGAAATGACTTGTGTAGTCATTGCTGTGCGATTTCAAGAAGGGAGATAAATCTGATGTAAAGAACTGGCGCGTGATATCCCTCATGAATGTCTCCTACAAAATCCTGACAATTGTTTTTGCATGATACCGTCAGGGACTGGTGGAGGGTGATCAGGGGGCCTTTTATACAGGGAAGGTCCATATTCAACAGCATTGTGACAACCATTGAGACATTGGAAGTGGTGCAGTCCAAAAATTAAGAAATTGTCATCCTGTTGCTGGATTTTGAGCAGGCCTATGATAAAGTTAATTGAACATTCGTTTTAACGACCTTAAACCACCACTACCTCGCCGGCCTAAATTCACCTTTCCTGGCCTTACGGACCTGGTTCTTAGGGGGTGGCAACTGGCAGGTGCAGGTGGGTCCAGTCCAAGGATTTTCAAGCGCCAACTTTGGAGATTTTTAGCGCTTAGAAGAATTAACGAAAAAAATCTGAAAATTTGAGATCCTGTAGATTAGATTATGATCTTTCTAGGGAAAATATCAATATCATAGGGTTCAGCCTTCTGATGAGTCGGTGAAACTCCGACGAAATAGTTTGTCACAGCCCCTCGTTTGTTGTCCTCTTCTCTCTCTGTGCCTACGGTTTACCGGGCAGTTCTGTTTGTGTCGATATATATGTATATATATGAAACTCCGACGAAACAGTTTGTCACAGCCCCTCGTTTGTTGTCCTCTTCTCTCTCTCTGCCTACGGTTTACCGGGCAGTTCTGTTTGTGACGATATATATATACATATACCCCTCGTTTGTTGTCCTCTTCTCTCTCTCTGCCTACGGTTTTACCGGGCAGTTCTGTTTGTGACGATATATACTCTGAAATAAATGCCGCGTCGTTTCGTTGCATTTTCAATTTTTGCCACTGGACAACATGTGGGCCGACGGGAAAAGTACCCCAACTTTCGTGATTTTTTGCTCTCAGAAGGATAACTCAACAACTTCGCAAATTCACAGGCTTATAGATTTGATCGTGGAATTTTCACGAAGTAAATCATGGGGGCAATTCGACGCATATTCCAATTTTGCCACTTCACCAGTTCCCCCCACTGCACTACCGGTAGCCCTCGTGGATGGTCCCCCTCTAATTTAGGACGGTAGGCACTGGTTCCAAACATTGGGTGTTTGGCCGAGTAGTAGATATTGGCCGCAGGAAAAAATAGAGTAAAAACATTTCGGGCGCGGCGCGACCGGGAGTGCCGCGCCGCTCCGCTCCGCTGTCAACATGGGCCGGCTCGTGAGTTGGTGGCGCCTTGTCAGCTTGGCTCCCTCTGAGGAATATCGAGGAGTGATGTGGGCAATGGGGGTTACAACGGCACGCGATGGAGCGAGGGTCCGATGGTTTTGTCTGGCGCAACCATTGACGTGATGCTTCGGCTGAGGGTTCTTCCAGCCTTGATAACGTAGGCTGAAAAGGTTTCTTGCTCTGTGCTTCATTTATGTGGTGTCACGGGTTGACATGCTAGTGGAGGTTGGTTGGGCAGTGCAGGCAGAAAGTGAGGAGCATTTTCTCATGCGGAGTGGGAGGAGAGAGGTTTGTTACAAGTTGGAGCGTAAAAAAGAGTTGGCGGTTTCAAGCGTTCGTTTGAGCTGGTTCAACGGTTAAAGACACGAAAGAAGGTAGCGGCGCAATAATGACAGCCGCGATTAAGCATAAGTTTTGTGCGAACATGTGTGATGCTTTTCATGTCGGCTGCCTTTTCAAACCGATTTCGCTGATCTCAATTTTGTATATTATAATTTTCCATATTCTTGCTCTAATCTAGTGTTCACACAGTTATAAATTCAGCTGCTCAAATTCGGAAAAATAAACTCGTAATCTTATTCTTTGTTTTTCGATCAGCCAAATTTTCATTTACTATAATTTCTTATAAGTTATGTCTCAAGTAAAGTATTCTCATTTAAATGTACACACATACACACAAACATATGTTGTCTATTTTGAATCGCCAGCATAATTCGTAGGGATCTGTTCTATAATTACGTACACACATACACACAAACATATCTTGTCTATTCTGAATCGCCAACACAATTCGTAGGGATCTGTTCTATATTTACGTATCCTTGAACTTCGATTATAAATTTGAAAAGTCCCAAGTAAAGTTTCTACAATGATTTTCTAATCTTGGAATCCGAAAATTTCAGAATCTCTTCGATAATTAGTTTTTGCTTCTTTTAAATTGGTGATACGTGCACATGGTGGGAGTTGCTAAACGTTGATTGGCGCAAGGGGCAGCGTCATGCGTTTTTTTCAGTGGGTTGTTCTTAAAGATGTAGGGTGTTTTAGGGGGTTATTGCATATTTTTGAAGAGGCCCTGCTTTAACAAATTGCGAACGTCATTTTGGTAAGTGTGTCATTAATAACTGTAGTCGACTGAATTAGATCGTTCCTAGAGGGTTGAACGGTAGGAAGGGGGTGGGGGGAGCTCTATCTTGCAGGGGCATCACAAGGTGGGGGGTGAATGTCTCAAAGAGGGTAGGGGCGGAGTAGGGGGTTGCCCTATTCTCGGGCACGAGCTGGTGCGTGGGTCAACATCAGTCCCTGCAGAGGCAGAAATGGGCAAGGGGCGGGAGGGCATGCTTTAGGTGGTAACTGCGTGCTCCTGGGGAAAGGGGTTAGAGGGTTGGTCCTATATTGGGGCCGAAGGAGAGTGGGTGATTCACCTCGGCGAAGGCAGTGTAGGGCTGAGGGGGGAGGGGTAGGGGGAGGGAGGGGCGATCTCTCTCGAATAAGTCTATCATCCAGTTACTATTTCTTTTCATTTCGTTTACCTCTCGAGGAGGTTGTAGGAATAGGTGCTATCTGGCAAGTTATTTGTGATCCTGCGAAGGGTGGTTGAAAATTCGGTGGCCCTCGAAAACCGATGCTGGAGCAGCGCTGGCCGGAGCCGGAGCCAGGTGGCGCAACTGTGTGACCTAGCTTAGTGGGGGCCTGAGGTCTGGTAAGAAGAGCTCTGGGGGGCTGTTTGCAGGGACAGCCTCAGTGGTCATCGGGGGTCATAACTGAAGCAATGTTGGTCGGTGTTGGAGCAAGGTGGTGCAACTCTGTAACCTAACCTGATGGGAGCATGAGGCCTGTAAGAGCTTCGGTTCGTGTTGAAAACAGCCATGCTGGTGGTGGTCGTAGGTGAATTGAATAGGTTTCACCTATCTGATTCGTGGTTGGGGGGCTTTTTGACACACATATTTTAGTGACTTGGTAGGGCCTGAATAGTGGAAAAAAGTTGGTTGTTCTCATAAATATCTTAGGACTCTAGGGACTCTTAGCAACCCATCTTATGCGGTTTCGGTGTTGTTATACTCAGCGATTTGCGGTTGTTCGATGCCAGAACGACGTTGGCCGGTGCTGGGGTGTTGCCCTGTAACCTGCTGATGCAGGAGCGTGAGGCGTGGTAGAGAGATCTGGGGATGCTTTGGGGTGGGCATCCCAAGGGAAAACCAAGGGTTGTTGTTGGGACAATATTGGTTGAAGCTAGGGCAAGTTGTGTTGCCATGTAACCCAGCAGGGTGGGGGCGTGAGGCCTGGAAGAGCTCAGTAAGGAGTAAGACTGTGTTGGAAAGTTTTGGAAGGGCTTGTTAGGGATCCTGAGGGTTCTGAGCATCCGTAGGATCTCTGTGACAACCTATTGCATGAGTAGTTCCTTAATAGGTCATTAGATATTCATGATCCTTCCCATGCTTTCTGAATCATATCGTGTTCACAGACTGTTCTCAATTGAAGCCGAGTAATGGCCCCGGTATCTCAAATGATTTCAAATGTTCTCAATGATCTGTACAATTCGGTATGGGACGCTGGACCCAGTTCCCAACACGTGCTGCTCCCCACGAATAGACTGAAGCACTTGTCTAAAAAAAAAAAAAAAAAAAAAAATTAAGACGGCGGGGGTAGTGGTGGTTTAAGGCAACTGGGTTTTGGAGAAGGGTTTTATAAATGGGTGATGGTTATGTATATGTTATTCATGCCCATAGTAATGATCAATGATTATTTTATGGAAGGTATTCCAATTGACAAGGTCACTCCACCAAGGTTGCCCGCTCGCCCCGTTGTTGTTCGTGCTTCAAATGAAAGTATTGTTAAATTGGATAAGGAGTCGCTTACGGATCAAAGGACTGCGCTTGAATGTCAACTTCAAGTGCAATGTTAAGGCTTTGGCAAATGACTTGTTCACAGTTTCTGAAAACTAAAAAGATACATTGTTGGCTTTAAAAGACGATGCTAAAGTACTCATAAATATACGAGGCATGGGTCCATGTACTTTCTCCCGAGTAAATTCACACTCAAAGTGGAATGGGGCGTGAGAGTGGAAGATAGAGAGGAGGAAAGGTTCCTAGGCATTCTGATCAACTTGCTGATATCCGTGGTAACTTTAGGACTTTTGCTGCAACACTGGATTGTTGCAAGACTCTACTTGTGAGGGGAAACGTGACACATTTCTATCATTTTATGAACTTTGGTATCAAACATGGCTTTGTTCTCAATCCTGTGGCTTATGAGTACCGACAAAAAAGCTGGTTGAAAAGGTGATAGCAACAATCCCCATAAGAGTTGTTAGGCTCGTGCGGAAGCACGGTCAAAATGCAAAAAAGGGTTCTTGGTAAAAATCGCATGGGAAACAATTACATTTTCGCGGGTGCAAGAGAGACTTTGTATAATAAAACTGATTATGAAAAATAATGATCACATAAAGTATTGGTTGTGCAAGGTGGCAGCAGCGAAAGACAACGAGCAATATATTGGATTACGATAATTGATCCTAATCAGACGATAAAGTTTAACAAGACCGAAAGATGTATGGGTACGTTTTTTTATGGAGTCCTTCATGAGAAAGAAATCGAAGTCCGTATTTGGGGATGTTGTGAGAAAAACATAAAGGAAAGTCCCTCTATACATTCAGTAACCAACAAACAAAATAGGAAGTCCTTGCTCAATATTTGTTAAAAAATTCAAAAATTTGCAACCAGGAAGGAAACCCATTTCCGTAGACGACTTTACAACAATTTTTTTCTCAGACATGGATGAGACGAGGAATCGTGAGGGTGAGAGATCTATAATCCTTGTTACTGGGAGGGTGAAAACCTTTTGCAAAAATAAAACAACAGTTAAATGGACTCGTAGTAGTGGAGGAAAAATTGCGCAAAATAACAGAGACAATTCCTCATGAGTGGTTTGACCTTCTTGGCATAAAAGGAGTGGACCCCTTTGGGACCTGGTACGTTGCAGAGGAAAAGTAAGAGCTCGATGTGGTGTGGAAAATGGTGGAGATCGTTCCCGACGGGCTTAGGAAAGTGGAGCGGTGGAAGTGTAAACAAGATACAAAAAAATATAATGTTTTTGGATGAAGAGACTATGATGATGTGGATCCATCCACCGTGGATACGGCTAGTGGAGTTGTCAAAAAAAGTTAGAGAGCAAGAATCCTGACATGGATTCGCAAAGTTCCCCTTAGAGAATTGTGTATTGATCCAACAACTTGAAGATTGAGCACAGGCCCCGCGGCGGAAACGAAGACGCACTTAGTCGAATACAACATCTGGAGTGTATTTTTTGGCTGCGACAGACCTTTTTTTGTTTCGTGAATGTTTTGTTGGCTTGTGATGGGGTGTGAACCGACAGTCTGTAGAGTTTTCCATCTGGTGTGGGTGAGTGATAGTCTACTTTGATTTTGGTTAAGGTAAATTATCATTTACAGTGTAATCAGTGAGGGGACTCTGCAGACTGTTGAGGGTTCAGCCTCCTGATGAGTCGGTGAAACTCCGACGAAACAGTTTGTCACAGCCCCTCGTTTGTTGTCCTCTTCTCTCTCTCTGCCTACGGTTTACCGGGCAGTTTTGTTTGT